GGGCAGGAAGGAGAGGCCCATGGGGTCTGGAACGCAGCACGAGCACAGCGGGCTCCCTGGGAAGGAAGGAGACAAGGCACCATCACTGATGGGGAAGGTCATGGGGACTGTCTGACTGTTCCCTCTACAGTCAATCTGGAGAGGGCGGAGATGGGGTTTGGGTCTCGAATGGCAACAACCCACTCCCCTATTGACCGTTAGTGGGTACATAGATGTTCTCTGGATCAGGGCTAGAAAAGCCAGATCCTGTTCTGTTGAGGCCCACTGTGAAGGATCTTGCACTGTGAGTCATCCAGGGTGACAAAGAGAATGAGGGCAAGCAGACTCAGAAGCAAGCAGTGACGTTTAGGTCACACATGAGATTTGCCCATAAGTGGGGCTGAGCTTGTCCCCCACTCTCCTAACAAGCTGCTGCTCTGTGGCTACCATCAGCCCCATGCTGGAGGTGACCCCTGCCCTCCACCTGCACACTGAAGCCTGATCAATTTGGGCAGCTGCATTTGTTGGGTGAGTGTGGGGGTCCCACCACTTATCTACACCTGAAAGTTTACTGCAGAGAGAAAGGTGAAAATATCCTGGTTCTACAGGAACTAATGACTTTCTCCTATCTCGCTATGAGATGAGATAGGCTTTTCCTGGGCCAAGCGCCTGCCAACTATTGGCATCATGTCTACCTGCAGGAGTCTGTACTATCTTCACCCACCCAATGTCTGTGCTGCTTAAGGATGACACCTTGAAGAGAACAGCCTCCAGAAGTGAGTCAAGGCCACCTAAAGCTGCTGCTGCTGACATGGTTTAAGAGTCCCATCAGGAGAGACAGGCCAGACTATCTCTATCCTGCCATCTGAGACACATGGACTGTCCCAAGCAGGCAATAAAACACTGAAGAGAGGGTGAAAAGGGTATTCTTCTCCCTTTAAACCAAAAGGCTACCCTGCAACCCACTGCCAGAGGCAGTCCTCACTCCACCAGCTGCCTTCCTGAGCTGGACCACTGCAGGCTCTTCCTCTGGTTTATCTTTGATAATGCTAGGACTTGATCACTGGGCAGGACATGCAGTCCATCCAAAAAGCCACCCTGGTACCTTGCTTAGATGCCTCTATTGAATGAATGAGAATGTGTCAGAGGAGTAGGGAGGGGAGGCAGAGTGGGATGGCTGAGCTATTACTTTAATTTTAATTTGCTCTCTAGTGAGAAACATTGAGTTACACCGTTTTTCCAGAGGTCTCAGAGGCCACACAAACTCCACATCCTCTTCTAAGCCCCTGGCAAAAGCCTGTCTTTTGCTGATATGCTACCTCCCAACAAGAAACAGCCTGGCCGCACACATTCTGACATGATGCAATGTCTTCCTCTGATCTTTCCAAGCCAAGGACTTGCTTTAATTTCTGCAGTTAATATTTGAGTTAAATGGCTCATGACTAAGTGATGGAACTAATAACCTGCAGGGAGCAGGTAGTCTTTCTTTTACACTTCTGCTTTCAGCAGCAACGGGTCAGCACCCATCTGCTAGGGATGAAGGCAGACAGTTGTTTGTTTTTAGGATGTTGGCAAGACTTCTCCACAGCAATTGTCAGAGATTATCAACTTGCAGGTAACGCTCAGGAAAAAAATATCCTTTGCATTTTAAAAAACACAACCCACAAGGGACAAGCTATTAATGTAACTGGAAAGTCTTCTTTTCTCTTGTAATAATCCTCTGACAGAGCATAGGACCAGCAGACCAACATTTCCGTGTGTCCAGGCATTCAAATGAATCGCACAAGCAAGTTTCAGCACTTGACTAAAATCCTCCATTTTTTGCTTTTAGCACTAGGAAGCTCAATGTTGAATTCTGTGGCTGCTTTGAGCAGGACAGAAGGAGGGTTTATAACAAAATCCACTCAGTAACACAACTTACAGTTTTTGCCACCACCAACCATGCTCATAAAGTCATTTTTTGCCCTGTTGAATTGCAGCCACTTCAGGGGTGCTGGATGGCCACTGTTTTAACAAGAGGGAGGAGAGGAAGATCAGCACTTCAGAGTCCCTACAGTTTGCAGCAGGTCTTTAGCTGCAGAAGCCACGCCGAGGTCTTTTTTTTCATTACTATTAAGCCCCACTACCTTAAGGTTCAGCTCTGAAATGAGGGAGCATGGAGGCCTGTGCATCAGCTCTTTGCACTGCTGCTTTCTAACACAAACTGAGTGAGACTTTCGAACGTGGCTGCTCAGCTCCCAGGCTGAGGGGAGGGCTGGCCCGTCTGCGGTGCCTACCGCAGGACCGAGCACAGACATTGTCTGCTTAGCAGGAGGTGGGGAGAAGTGGAAAAGAGCCTTCCCCTTTTCAAAAGAGCAGGAATCGGCTCCATCCCCTAAGAATAATTTTCATTCCATTGTTAGAGAGGGATAAAATATTTATCAGTCTTCAGTACCAATCTAAGCTCTTTGCTTAATAATTAGACCTGATATTACCCAGTGGCTCTGCAACCTGAGGGTGCAGAGTTACCTGTGGTGGAAACTAAGCTATCTCTAGCATTAATTCACTCATAAACCATTCCTTTCATTTTCACTGAGGTTAAAACACTTGCAAACAACAGCTCACACCCGAAAAAAATGTAAAGTAACAAGTCATTTGCTCCAGGGCCCAGCTAGAATACAGGAGAGTAGGATTTAGCCCTATTCCTTTTTAATGTAAAAGGAAGGTTGAATCTCCGTTACAATTGCCTGTGTCTTTGGGTAGTAAGTCCAGTGAAATCTATCAGACTTTGCTGGCACAAAAGCCAAGATGAACAATGGGAGAATCAAGAGCCCAAGGTCTCCACCTGCCCGTCAGTCAGCCCACGATGGACAGGGATCTGACTTTCATCAAGAAAGAGGCATCCACATATAGCAGACATCAATGTTTTTTTACATCTTATTGCAGTAACCCTGAGTCCACTGTGGGGAAGGAAGGAATCATTCCTACTTATTTTGGATTCTCAGAGGAGTTTAGGCACCTAGCTCTCATCAAAATCAGTGAGGGTTAAGCTGTTAGCCCTAGCTAACAGCTAGGGCTTCCACTAACATCTATGACAGTCTGATATTACTTTAATGGGATTTGGATCAAGTTGCTACAATATGGACAGGGTACCGTTTTCTTTCTTTCAGGAACTTACTGCCTCCTGTACACAAAATTAAAATACACGATTAGATTTCCATTAACTTACAGCAAATTCTGCTGAATTGATCTGAACCTCCTTGTATTCCTATATGAGATCATACTTTAAATGCTCAGCCTGAACATAAATACTTAATGTAATAAATACAGTCTGAAATATTTGATCCACTTGGCAGTTTAATTGATCTACTACAGAGACTGACAGGAAAAATTAAATTAGTTCTGTCTTGTCTCTGCCAACATCACATTTCAATTGTAACGATATTTGATCTACAATTTTGGTTGCAGACCCTTTTGTGTAGTTCCAAAGTTCAGTTTCAGCTGAGAAGAGTGGGGTGGGAGCGAGCGGGGCCCATATTGACATATAAGTATTTTAAATATATATTTTGTATTTCAACTCAACAGTTTCAAGAATTTAATAGATAGCCTTTCCAAAAGGCAAAACCCCAGTTCCCTTCCTCTTTCAGTATTTCTGCATATCAGCATTTGATGTGGACAGCTGAACAGCAACCTGACGTGGAGGGAAGCAAGGAAAAATTCCCATTTAAAATCCTCACTTGTCAATGCATGCTGTTCAGTCTTCAGAGGAAATATTATGCTTGATTTAATTATTGTTTTCTTCTGATAGTAGTCACATTGGTTTGCTTGAGCTCTAAATCCTCATAAACTCTGAAATCACTTTCACAAGGTTTGGAAGGTCAACAACAACCTGGAGTTCATAGTATCATTTACCAGTGAGAGCTGATTTAAAGGGAGCTCCTTCTTGCTCTTCATACATGACACCAACACTGTGTCTATCAAAACCTGAGGCACAAGCAGGAAAACCAAAAGTGGCTTTATCCAAACCTTCTTGAGCTCTGAATCAGGAGGTTCAGAAGAACAAGGCATGAACTTAGAGCCTGAAATGGAAAGGCACCAGATGCTCCCAGTATAATTTAGGGTAACCTCAAGGCTGCTAAAGTTGTGCTAGATGGTTCCTCCTTCTAGTCCCTAAGGTTAAGTGTGGAAGGCACCCTGTGCTGCCCAGAGGCTGGAAGAGCACTTCAGAGCTGACAGCAGAGTCCAAATGTTATAATTTCTTATCCCCTTGGCTTGTGAACCCTATACCCCCAATGCAAACAACATAGAGCTGATGATCTGGCTCAGTTGCTCTAGCAGGAGCCTTTTTGTGTAAGTAACTTTACATTGGAACTGGAGGATTTCATCCTCCTTTATTTCTGCCATTAATACTGTTCCAAAAAAAAAAAATTCAAAAGCCAGGACCTTGCCTGTTTGGACAGGAAAGTTGGCACCAAAGCCCACAAAAGCTGGGAGAACAGAACCAGTCCTTTGAACACTGTCATCTCAGCAACCATTTATCACTCTTCCCTTCCACATTAAAAACATGATCTGACCCTAAATCCTGCTGACATGTGTCACTCCAAGAGGGGTCAATAGGAACCCCTGCCCAGCTAAGGTCCACTAACATAATTAAGATTTGTCCTGGAGGAACAAGCCAGCACCCATTTCCTTCCCATGGCTCTTAGGGCTCCTAGTATCTGCATATTCCCTGATATTTGTGATGAAGACCAAAGAAATCTACCTGCGAGGTAGGGCAGTGCTAGAGTCAGGGACCTGTGGTACGGGAATCAAAGTAATGTGCTCAAGATCTGTGTATCTGCAGCAAACTAAAGAAATGTTTTAAATACTCTAGAGTCACAGTGGCAGGTAAACGAGGGAAAATGCCAAACAGAACCCACTTGATATATTTGCTCCATTACATGAGAAAAGCCAATAAGTCCATAATCAAGAATGACAGAGAAAATAAAGGACCCCAAGAGTTTTGATTCCTGTTCCCCAGTCTCATGGTAAGCAGTGGTGCTTCAATTCAGTAAACACCAGTTCAAGCGTAAGGTGGGTCTTTGAACGCTTCTTTCTC